CAAATTAAAATATGTAGAAATTAGGGTTTTTAACTTTTCATCATCTTTTTAATAAATAATTTTTTCTTATTATTATTGTTATTAATTATTAAATATTTTTGTAAATAAACATGTACATTAAATATTTAGTAAATTAGGTTAAACTTTAACATTTTCATTAATAATTAAAAAAACTTAGAATTAGAGTTTCTTTTAATTTTAATTTTCTTTATTTCATAAATACAAAAAACTAAAAAACATTTCTTTTCTTTTAATTTAATAATCAATTAACTTTTAGTTCAATTTAATTTCAAAAGGGTCCAACGCCCTCGAATGTTCTATCTTTATTCTCTTTGCGCATTTTATTTATTTCCTTCTTGTAAATATTAATGTAATTCTCCCAAAGCCTTGTAAACTCGGACATTTTATTTCTCGCACTTCTTTATTTACTTTCTGTCAAATCGGGTCCTGGATTTATTTTGGCGATGTGGACCCGCGCCTTTGTAATAGTTTAGAACTTTATATTTCCGCAACTTTTTTTAACTGTTAATAATGGCATGCAAGAATGAATGATAAAATAAAAACAAACGTGTAGATCACCCATGACATGAATAAGACAAAAATAAATGAAAACGACACACGAATCACACACCACCCCTAGGGTACGCCTCACTGTTGCCTTGCCTCGAAAGGTGATCGTCGAGTAGAGGATGTCTTAGTAAGTCCTCATGATCCGGGAACCTGGCATGAGGGTAGCTTCTAAGGTATCTTCCTATTGCTCTGGTGATCACCATGTCCCAAACCTCGAATTGACCCGAACACCTCCAACGGTGGTGCTACCTACCTCTCAATGGTGGGATGACACTACTTTAAAGGACATTTACACAGACGAATTCCTTAGGGTAGGTAGACGACTCTAGATACTTGCTCTAATTTCAAAACAAATTCAAAAATACTTTTCACACCGACACCTTTTCAAAAAGCTTTCGAAAGCAATTTTTTTCAAACACTCTTGAGGACCGATACAAGAGTCGAACTGAAATTTTCAAAGAAACTTTTTTAAAACCCACAGTTGAAAAGCAAACAAACCATTTTGAAAACACAAGTGAGCAAGTATCTAAGAGCCCATGGATAACCATGGATAGAAAGGGTGCTAACACCTTCCCTTTCTATAACTTACCTCCCGAACCGAGAGCAATCTCTTTAAGGAATTTTTCTGTGCTTTTGTCCTTTCCATTTGGAGAAAATAAAAGACGGTGGCGACTCTTGCTTCCGCGACATTTCGCGAACCAGCGTTAAACAGTCAGTTCCAGATCCATCGATCACAGACTCTTATTCCGAGCATTTGATTTCTGAATCTTTTCTTTGATTAGTGAAGCTTTCGTGAAGATCGTCAGGTTTCTTTGTTTTGATACGCTTTGCTACAGATTGATACCTGTTTGGTATTTTCTCTTGTTTATCTCATTTTCGCATTTTATTGTTTTCTAGATGTCATGAGAAGTAGGAAATTTATTGCTTTCTAGATATCATGAGAAGTAGGAAATAAAGAGTGCACTCGAAGTTGTTGTTTAAAGTCCTGTAGCAGACACCTCTTTCTGTGTGCTATTTATGTTTGTTTAAAATCTTACCTTTGAAGTAGGCATTCTGCACATGTGTTTACATTTGTACCCGAATTATATTACAGATGATAAGTCCTTAAAAGGAGGAAAGCAGGGAAGGTCCGTAATCGACCCCTGCACATTCTAGTCTGTGTCATCCTTAGCTCATGTTGTACGTAAATGCTTCAGAGTCGTGCAGATCTTATGTATTGAGTTAGTTATATGGGGAAGGGTTCACAATCAACCTCCACACTTTGTCAGGAGTTCACAATGGCCATTGCTGATACTCTGCTACCCGCTTGTTTGCTTCGGGTGATACGTTCCCCTTAGCTAAAACATTTATCTTGTTTCCCCCACTCCTTTGAGTCAATATGTGCTACTCATGTTTGTTTTCTTTTACCAAAGCACTTGTTTGCTTATTTGTTTGCTATACCATGCTTCCCTTAGGATCACTCGATTAGAGTAGCTTTCAAGCTAGTCCCTAGGATAGTTAATCATGCATGCTAACATAGCTTTAGAGCTAGACCTTAGGATATGTATCCATGCATGCTATACCATGCTTCTCTAGATAATGAATTCTTTCCTGTTCATATTTACTTTTATGTTTTTATGTTTTACCAATTTAAAACAAACTCATTAATGAGAGAATTTCCGAACGATATTTCAATACACCGATCTCTGTGGATATGATACGATATAACCTATATCACCCGATAAATTAAAAACTTACTTTTCGCTTGCCGCTATACCACAGTAATAACTAACATAGGGTAGAGATTTCTCTTTTAAAACTTAACCATAGGATCAATCATTGTATGATAACATTAGAGATAAATCTAGGTTAGTTTCCATTAGATGCTTTTTTTTCTTTTGCATTCTTGCATTAAGACTAAAACTCTTTTTTGGCAAAGCATAAAACATCTAACAACTTTGAAATCCTTCATTAAGGTAAAAGATATCAACCAATATGAATTTTTTGTGCCTTCGGGCTTTTCTTTCAAACTTTTTCAAAAGAACATGTTAATTCATTTTTGTGATGACGCGTAAGTCTCCAAAGGTAGAGTTGTGGCAGAAGGTGAAATTAATATTGTTCATTAAAAAATACAAACCAACGGAAACTTTTGAGCCGAACTACATATGCTCTGATTCCTTAAAAGGGATACGTAACCATTGAGGTAGGGTCCGAACGAGCACAACTTTATTTTCCCTACATTATTTTCTCTTTTATTTTGCATGCATTCTCTCTTTTCATTTTCTTTTAGCTATTAAGCTTATATTTGAAACACACTCTTTGATTAGAACAATATGAGTGGATACCGTAGAGTACTATGGGCGTGTGGGGTACTAACACCTTTCCCTTGCGTAACAGACTCCCTTACCCGTATCTCTCGGTTTTTCAACCTTGATTTCACCCTTCTTAGGTTTACTCGATGTTTACCTTTCCCTTCTTGTGGGATAAAAAACGTTCGATGGCGACTTCGTTGATTTTATCTTGATGATTTATTCAGCCGATTGTTTCAATAGTGAAATAGGGGAAACAATAGGTTATCATAGAGGTACAATCAATTTTCCTAAACTTCCTCAACTCTTTTCCAAGCGTGAAAACTGAAAATTTGGACATGACAATCGATTGTCATAGGGGTGCAATTGATTGTCATATGGAAAACTCATAAAGTATTCAAACGTCCATGAAGATAATCGATTGCTTCATCACTGCAATCGATTGTGCTATACAATTTTCCAAAAATATCACTTCTAAACACATCTCTTTCAACCTTTAATCATTCTAAATCATATGTAATCATAGTCCAACATACTCAAGTACTTCAAACCATTAATTCAACATCATGTAAGGATATATATGACTATGTCTTCTCTATTTCTTAACCTCGTGAATTTCTAACTATGATAACACAAACTCATGTAATCACATTCCATAACATCAAGAAACAACATAACATAACACAATTCAACATCAACACAACATAACATCATAGTTTATTCCAAAAACATAAGAATGACAAGTTTTCTCGAAAACCCCAAATGTTCATGTAATTTTGCCCCAAAGCTAAAACTAGCTAGGAACCCACTTCTAATTAAGGGCTATGATGAATAAATTGTGATGAGATGGAGTGAAATCTTATTTCTCTTCTTTGATCTAAGCTCTTTGCTCTTCTTCTCCTCTCCATGCTTTCTTCTTTATCTTACTAACAAAATGGAAATATGATGGAATGAATGAAGAGAAATGTGATATAAAATGGTTTTTTGTCCTTTAGTGGACAATTAACCTTGACATTTTATCCTTGACATTTTATCCTTGACATTTTTTCATATTCTAAAAAATACCATCCTTCAAAATTACAAAATTGTTCTTCTTTATAGTTACTAAGGATCAAGTGAATTAAGTACGAATTAATATCATCAGAGTTTACTAACTACCTTATTTGTCTCAACTGACAAAGAATAGAGCATTTAGAAACTGAATTGGTCTCAACTAACAAGGAATGAAGCATTCAATAGGATATGAGATATTATACGCGCTATCGAAGACGCTTTGTACGTCCAAATACAACATTCAAATACCTTTTATCAAAGAAATACACACTTTTAAACGTAGCTGGAACATCCCCTCTAGATCTAGCCACTCCAAGGGTGGGCGTGGTGAAGCCTTGAGACGTTCATCCAGATCCGAACTATTTCCTCGAGGAAGGGACAAAGATCCTCCACCTTTTCCTAGGAAAGATCCTCTATAACACGGAGGGAAGTTTAAAGCATGACCACATCTAGTCGATTTCGTATCCCTCGTTTGTATGTAGAATTCACGACACCACCATGATTAATCAAACTCATACCTTATCCATGTAACCACAATTAAGGAATAACTACATTTAACAAGTCTAGCATGAAATAATTACATGTACAACGAGGAGCATAAATGCTCAGAGAGATCTCATATTGCACTAGTTTCAATCCAAAATACCAACACTTCAAACTTCAACAACACTTCCTCCGTACAAGCACACTCTGAGCATAGCCATGTGTTACCACATCAACCTTCTATCGAGACGCCATGTACATCTTAATAAAACCCATTTTCGAGCGAAACATCCATACACGGCTCTGCAAAAGATTTAAGTACATTTACATTTTAAGCAACAATTACTTACTACTTTCTACAACAAACCAATTATGTAAGTTTCAGGATTCCAAAGCAATCCTTAGCTACCCTCGAATCCTATGTATCCTTGAATCCCAACCGAACAATGATGACGGTTGAAAAAGAGAAATATTATACCAAAAAGCACAAGCATGCAAAGGTAATAACTGAAATACATATATATACAATATTGTTTACAAACCGAGGCGCAGAGGCCCGATCAAATATTACAAGAGAAAATAAAAGGAAAAAGAACAAAACGGTGCTCAGACGTCTACATTCGACTCCTTAAATCCAAGACCACCTCCGGTATCCTTCTAAGAAGAATTTGTTAAAGGGTCCAACTGTCAGTGGTGATAACGAGGTCGAGACAAAACAACCGATCCTGCTTTAACATCTCATCCTACATCCTACATACAACCTCTACTTCTCGTTGTAGAGATTCCTGAGATTTTTGTTGAGCACCAGCCGCCACCTCCTTGGGAGCTTTCAAAGCATTGGCCCGATCACCCTTCTTCCGCTGAAGAGCTTTCTGACCCGCTTCGAACTCCCGACACACTTCAAATGCATATTTAAAATCCTTCTTAGAGAGCATTTCACCGTTAGTAAGGGAAGCCTTCAACCTCTCTATCCGAGAAGCCTTTATTCCCGCCTCGCTCAAGACAGGAGGAGGCATCGGTCTCTCGACAAGGTTTTCACAAGAAATAAAGATTCTAAAGTATTCATGGAGAGAGCTTCATCTGACAGAGATTCTGCAGACGACTCTTCCATCTTTGAATCATCACTCAAAATAATTATTCATGATTCAAAACCCCCACTTATAGAGGGGAAGGAATATGATTTTGAATTCATTCCCCTTTTCGAATATGAAGATACACTACCCTCGGAGTCACTCTTGACGATAATAGGGTTACCACTCATCGTAAGGAAAATGTGATAAAAACTTAAAGTAAAATCAAAGAGAGTTGGAAACAGGGAAGAGAGTTGGAAAATCAAAGTTTTAATGCTTTAAAATTATGATCGTGTAATGATAGTTACTTAAGAAAGCAAGTGCTCTTAGATAAATGGGGGAAAGAACTCAAAGAGATTAGAGAAACTCAGTCTACGAGCGGACTACAAAGTTTCTCTACGATCTATGTCCATCTTTATATATACAGAGACAATCGAACAAATCAGATCAAAAGTAGGAAATAAGGACAAATCTACAATCAAATTTCATTTGGGGAAGACAACTACACTCGAGTGAACTCAAGTACATGAAAATCTGTGTCACGTCACCCCATACCTTTTTAGATCACATGTCAAAGAAATTTAATTGTAAATGTGCAAGTTCTAATTTATGACATTTAAGGAGTGGATTTTTTTTGGGGTTATGTGCTCTAGTGGTTTGGAGTACACCTTTTTGGAGATTAACAAGTGGAAAGACACGAGTTCGAACTCACGATCCTCCATATCATGTTCGAACCTTCATAAAGGGTTCCTAGGTACACAATCTCTAATATTCTCTTTCACTACCACTATCTTAAAATTTAAACTGACTTGGACGTTGAAGTGCTAACCATGCAGGTGAGATCCACCGTATCAAAGATAACCATCACCAGTTAACGACATCACACCAAGTACAATATCTCTGGTTCAAGAAGCTTCGTGATCGCAACTTTTGATCCACAATGTCACATCGACATAGTGTATCTAAAGCTCCACTCCGCCATAATTTTCGCAATCATCGCCATTTCTGATTCTACAGAGGAACAAATTTTTTTTGTAAACAGTTATTTTATAAGTTTGTTTATATTATTTCATAAATAGGATTTTATATAATTTGCAAGAAGTACTTAGTTAGATTTGCTAAAGAAAAATAATAATATATTTTAAATGAAAAATAATTTTTATTATAGAAATCATTTTTAGAGATTATTTGTAAATGAATTTAAATATTATAAATTATTTATTAATATTATTTATTAATAATAGTCTAGTGGTTTGGAATTCATCTTTTTAAAGATTAACTAGTCGATAACCCGTGCTGTCGCACGGGGCCGGTCGAGAATTCATAAAACGTGGAACTAATGTTGTCATGTAACAGTAAAATCGTTTTTATGAAATTCAATAAAAGTTCATCTAATTCGGCCAAATTTAGTGTATCAAACTTATTTGACAACATTAAAAAATGTAAATTGAAATCATGATTGTGTAACAATATAAGAAACTGTGATGACTCTTCAAAATAAGAAACTATCATGAGTCTTCAGATACAACGCAACCAGCTTGGAAACGATGTTTTCAACTTTATCAGCTGCACAATATATGATGCAAAAATTAGACAGCATTTACGAAAACAATTTATATTAAAGAAATTATTTGTTATTATGTACTTACCGATCAACAAAGAGATTGGAAAACTTCTTTGTATACAACATTTGTAGTGATAGATCTTGATACATTCATACTATCATGTATTAAGATCTTTAGACCACTTTTGCTTGTAACTCTTGAAATGGCTACATACAACTGGCCATGACTGAATACAGGAGTAGGCAAATACAATCCAACTGTATCAAGTGATTGGCCTTGAGACTTATTAATTGTCATTGCGTACGACACAATAATTGGGAACTGTCTCCTAATTAACTTAAATGGCCACGGTGACTCGGAAGGTGACATAGACATTCGAGGGATGAAAAAGATGTTACCAACATTCTTACCAGACATGATCTTTGCCTCAATAACGTGATTTGCCAACCTTGTAACAATTAGTCTTGTTCCGTTACACAAACCATCGTTTTGGTCCAAATTCCTCATAAGCATTATTGGTGTACCAACCTTTAATCTGAGTTTGTGATTTGGGACACCTGAAGTCCTAAGCTTGCTAAGAAATTCTGGAGTAAGACATTCATAGGCTTCGGTGTAACTTGAATCAGTTCTATCAATCGAATCAAAACTCAAATACTCTTTGTCCTCACCTAAGAAATGGGAAAACGCGAATCAATCCATAATGTTTTTTCAAGATTTATTTAATAACGAAACATCTACATGAAAAGAAACATCAAAAGAAAAAAGAGTTTACCCGGTATCATGTCTAACACGTAATGATTAATTTTATCAACAACTTCAATGGTTGAAGCAAGTATTGCTTTTCCTTGTAGAAATTCTACATTTTGAAAGTAGGCAAGCAAATTTGGGTATGTGCTTTCAACTATAGCTCTTATTGGATCCTCAAAATTGGAAATTAACAAATCAGGAGGAATTTCTATATCAGCTAATCCATCGTTAGGTTCACATATTTTACCGTCGCCAACATTTAATATCCATTTAGAGAATTCTGCAAGTTCATCAGAAGTTGTAACGTCCCTCCCATTCTGTAGTCTCATGTTTTTGGTTAGTGTTAAGACTTGGCAATAGTCCCACACATAAGAAGAACAAATGGAAGCATGAACAATATCAGAACGGCCTGCTCTTGGAACAACTGGAAGTATCTGTCGAAAATCTCCTCCAAATATAACTACCTTGCCACCAAAAATTGTATTTGCAAAACCCTTATCGCTCATGACATCCTTAAGGGTCTTATCCAAGGCCTCAAAACAATTCTTATGAGCCATGGGTGCTTCGTCCCATATTATGACATCAGTAGCTTCGAATAACTGTGAATGCTCAGAGTCTTTGTCAACATTGCAAGTAGAGTTGTCAAGCGTTGGAATGGGAATTTTGAACTTCGAATGGGCTGTTCTACCACCTGGCAATAATAAGGAAGCTATGCCACTTGAAGCAACAACCAGAACAATTTTTTTATCTGAACGAAGTGCACTTGATAATGTCCTCCACATAAACGTTTTACCGGTTCCGCCGTATCCATGTAAAAAAAACACGCCTCCGTTTTGTTTCTTGACGGCGTCCATTATGGTTTCAAAGATTGCACGTTGCTCATCTTGACGTTCAAATGAAAAGAATCAATACAACAGTAGTTTAATGAAAACATCGATATTTGAATAATGAGGAAATACCTGTTAAAGATGAAAATAGATTCCGGAAGTTTTGTCGCTCTGAATCAGCATCGTAATCACGTTCATCAAAAATCAGTCTATTGCCGACATGTCGCGTTATATACAAATCTGGAAACGACATATCTTTGAATTCACGCAAGCTTCTTCTATTTGATTGCATCATATTCTCAATCTCAATTAATGTGAGGTTTGTCAGTTCTGCCGTTGACAATTGCATGTCTTCCAACACAAATACAAACCAAAATAAAATATAACTATTTTGTACAATAGAAATCACAGTGTTGATGAAGATAGACATGCAAAAGGATCGTTAACCTTACAATGGCAGTATCATGGAAAAGTTCAGTATAATGCAAGAGCATCAGACATTCGGGTTCATTAAAAATGTTATGTTTTTGATCAGTAGCTGTGACAAAAGGTGGTTGAAGGTAAAAGATAAATCACAGAATTATTCTGTTCTGTGTTGATGGGGAGTAATAACAGATTGCATTAGATATTTTTATTACTGATGAAATGGCAGCATTGAAAGGACTTGCTTACTGGAACTTATGATTCTTTGAAAGGGCAGCATTGAAAGGGGTTGTTGAAAGGTGCTGTATGAAATGTAACATATATATGGAAGTATAAAGGGATTGAAATTATTGCATCCAAAGTAGTCTAAAAGGTATTATAAGAAGAAAAACTCATTATAATAGTTTCGTACGGTTTGTAATTGTATGAAATTTAACAGAAGTATTTAGGTATTTGTTAAGTGTACCTCTTATTCCAGTGACAATTCTCTGTTGATCTTCATGACACAGACTCGGGTATTACGTACCAATGTGTTTTCAAATCCAGGGAGAACATGACGGAGAAGTTTCTGTCAAGGGGCTGGTTAAAATTTGCAAAGGAGAAAGAGCTGTCGAAAGGTGACGTTCTCTTATTCAGTGTAGAGCATCCTCCTGTGGAACGTATATTGGTCAAAGTTGAGAGAGGGCAGCATTGAAAGGAGTTGTTGATTGGATTACATGGGAAGCATCATGGCAAAAAGGAGGGATTATTTTTGTATGGGCGGAAATGCATAACTATTTGTTTTGAAAATCTATTTGATGCCCATTTGTCTTTGTTATTAATTTTGTTATATGATATTGTTGAGCTACGGCTCAGTACAATTTGCTTATGATATGTTAATTGGAATGATATGAAATTAGTTCGATATATTGCGTTGATAACATAATTGCATATCGTTTCCGGTATTATCCGTTAACAATTTATACTAATCAAGTGTCATGGATTTCTGCCATGCATAATCTGTTATTCAAGTTGGATTTTTATATATTAATGTACAGTATGCTTATATTCTACCGTGAATTATGCATAAAGTATGCAAAACAAAATAACATATTTTCTAATGTCAGTAATGCATTGTAGTGAGAAGATAATGTTTTCATACTTTAACATTGTTAATTATATAATGTCATTAATAATCACTGTCAAAATTATGTAGTATTAGTTATGATTTGGTGGTAGCAACAAAGAGAAATGGGATATGATAGCTTCTTTGTGCTCTAACATTCTTGCCAATACATTATCCTCATTCTGTTCGGGATTGTAATCTCTAATAAAAAAGATAGCTCCATGAGCAAAAGCCACTGTCATAATAAATCCTGCAATGTATTGATGATAAGTATATAAC